TCACTCTAATATTAATTTATTACAATTTAAATTTTTAATAAATTTGATTTATTTTTAATAATATTTTTATTTTAGTAATTTAAAATTAAAGTTAATATTCATTTTGTTAATATTGAGACCAAAGTTTATTTTTAAAGTATATTTTAAAAATTAAATTATTTTTAAAAAATAAATTACTTTTAAAAAATAAATTGTAAAAAATATACTAAAACAATTAAAGTATATTTATAAAAAAATAAATTTAAATATAATAAAAAATAATATTTATTAGCTGATCGATTTCAATTTGGTCGCTATTTTCTCATTAGCGATCGATTTTAATTCGGTCACTATTTCAATTTGTGATTCGGTCGCTAAATCAGTCGCTAAATGATTTTTTTATTTTAGTATGGAATAGCCATCGATTTAGCGACCAAAATTTTGCGACGCAAAACTATTGGTCGCTATTTCGGTCGCTAAATAAAAAAGTGAAACTAAATCATATTTTGGTGGCTAAATCGGTCGCTAAATTGCGACTGAATTAACGCGGTCGCTAATTGCGACCGAATTAAAGTGGTCGCTAAATTGGTTGCTAATTGCGACCGAATTAAATTGGTCGCTAATTACGACCAAAATTAAATCGGTCGCTAATTTCGGTGGCTAAATGTGTTTTTTCTTGTAGTGCTAGATATTATTGGAGAGATTAACTACAAAAAGTCAACTTCGAACTATTTGATTAAATTTGTAAGGAGAGTTATGACTTGACAATCAAGGCTGCATAGATGTGTAATATCATCTATTATAGAGACAAAATTTATTGTCATTATTAAAGAATGTAAGGAATTATTGTTGTTGAATAAATTCTTGTAGGAGTTTTATTTTGTTCCAACAACTATCAATTATATGTGGATAATCATAATATTACCATTGAATATGTGATGTTTTGGATGCAAATTTATTAAAGTTGGAAAAAAGTTTATACTAAAGACAATGATATTGATATGACGACTAAACACTACCAAGGTATAAGTTTCAAGCTTATCGTAAGATTACTAGATTAAAGATCACCTCCACGTAGTTATAAAAAGAGAGATATGTTCAAACTAAACTTTTATTTATGTATTAAAAAACTCAAATCCTTCCGGTCTAATTTATCAATTTAACCTTAATGGATAAAAGTCTTTAAAGTCATAAGACATAATATTATTTTTCATCATTTAGAAGAGAAAAAGAAACAAAAAATTATCCAAAGTTTCGTAAGTTTAAGAGTATAAAAAAAATAAAAAAACTTATGTGTTTTCAGGTTGAATAAGACAAAAAAATATAATCAAATAAAATGATTTTGTCTTCATGCATAAATGTTTATTTAGAGTTTAAAGAATATCTCTTATCTTTTATGTATCAACATGTATAATAATATTATATATTATTATTATTATTATTATTTACAAAATGAAATATAAAATTTGTTTAATAAAATCTCACTTCCAACGTTAATATATATATAAAATTGGCTCACACGTATCAATCCAAGCAATCCAATTTCATCTTATATTAGTTTTCTTCTTTCCTAACAAACATTAGATCTAAAAAAGACTAAATTTTAATTATAAAATATTATACTCCAATTTCACCTCTGCTTTTTTTTTTTCTCGTAATTGAATCCAAACAAAAACTAAATCTTAATTACAAGTATTTTTTAATATATATATATATATATATATATATATTATTGATACTATATTATGTTATTTTATAGAGATATTTTTTTAAAATAAATAATTTATATTTAATTTTATTTATTATAAATATTAGTGTTAGTTAAATTTAATTAATATTTTTATTTCAAAAAGTAAAATATTTCAGTTTCTAAATTAATTTGAATTAGACATGGAGTATGATGTTCAAATTCAAACATAAAAATACTTTTAAGATAATATCATCAAATAACGTTGATATAATTGATATTAACGTTAATTTTTATAAATAAAGTTTAACTATCTTAATCTTATTTAATGTTATTATTTTAAGTATATTTTAAGTTTAAATTTGTGAAATATTTATATGATTAAAACTTAAGATAATTTATAAATTATAATTATTTATTTCGTAACATTTAAAAATATTAAATAAATTTAATTTCCACTAATATCCTTAATAAATGTGAAACTAAGTATAATTTAAAAATATAACTGTTTTTTATCTTTTTTATAAATAACACAATTTCAAAACCATCATAGGAATGATAAAATAATAATTTGTAAAAATAGTTTTAAATTAAATATGAGTATGATTCTTATAATATGTCTATCTTGATCCTTTTGAAAAATTTTATAATTTGCTCTTTATATTAACAATTTATTGTTTATTTTTCTGCTATATTATTCTTAAGTAATGATACAAATATTACACTACTATGATATTATGTGAAAGTAAATATTTTGGGAGTATGACATATCATTACTTAACTGTAACATTCTCATGACACAGAAAAACAATAATATTATAACAAAGGACTAAAAAGGGAGAGAAAATGAGTATATTATTATATTAAAGAGACTAGTAACATATTAAAGGGATAAATATATATTTAAATCATTTATTTATTTTATACAACGGATTCAATGATGTACGAAATATAAAAATTATTTATATATTTCAAATGTATTTATTTTAAAATATATTTATTTTTAATTATTATTTTCACAAAACATGTTTTAAACACAATCAAATTAAGAAAATGTTAAAAACATAACTTATTAAGGGAATATTTAATTGATGTTATTAATATAGTATTTATATAAATATTTAAATTAAATATTAATTTTCTTCTAGAATATTAATTATTACATTTATTCCATATAATATGCAACTAATTTTAGTAATATTATCACATGTTATATTCATTAAATATCATATCATTATCAAGTTTAATAAATGTAATTCTAATATATGTATATTAAATGTACAACTTTTTTTAATGAATATGTTTATATCAAATTATATTATTAAACATAATGTAATAATTTTTTTTGTTTATATATATACAAAGAAGCTAATAGTTAAAAATAAATAATTGCATTGGTAATCTTTATTTCAAGCAAATAAACTGCTTTTCAGTTAAAGGAATTTTCAGGTTACGCACAGAAAAAAAAGAAGAAGTAAAAAGTAAAGTATATATATATTTTTGAAATAAAAATAAAGGAACATGATTTATTTTGTGTAATATAATAAGATTGACAACTACGCTTTCTAACAAGCATTTCTTCGGAAAATGTAGAAAATTTTCGAAAGAAGATAAAATATTTTTTAAAGTAGAAAAAACTTTTAAGCTACGATAAAATTTTAGGATAGAATAATTTCATGAAAAATATGCTATAACACGTTTTTTAAGGGACCATTATTTCGTGACATGGCAATATCATATCACTGGAAGTTGTCAATTTGTAATATATAAAAGAAATTATGTATCTCATTAAAAAAAAATAATTCACTTAAATAATTTATAGTGGTTACGCCATTAAAATTACTATAATGGATGTTGGACCACTAGCAAACATATTCTTAATTTAAAAGTGCATCAATAAATGTTTTTATTTTCTATTTATGTTCACAAAACAAATACAAATTGAATCCACATACGATTCTTCCGAGATTTTCTCACAACATAATTTTTCGAACTTTGTGGACAAACCATGAAAATAATTCAACCCAAAAAAAGAAAAATGGAGATACCAAAATGCTGACGATAAACTAATTCGTGTTTAAACTGTTGCATGGTAGCGAATGTAGACACTTTTCAAATGATAAGAGTGGTCTACGTTGAAGCTTCAGACAAAAAGGAACAGGATTCTATTTAAACTCTTTTTAGCCACACAAAATACCAAAAATTTCGCCCTTATTAACCTACGAGAAGAAAAAAACATGGAGTACGTTGAAATGAAATGGCTCTAAAAGAATGGCTATCAAGTTTAGGATCCATATACATCAATGTACGGGTGATGTTACTTTTTCATTTTCAATAGATCTTCCAAGGGTACACAGGAAATTAGTCAGAGATCACTAGAATGGTACTTTTGAAGAAGCATATATAAATAAAACAAAATAAATGTTCCTTAAAAAAAATCTTCTTCTACCCATTCCAAACATTTTTTATACATGAAAAACCAAAGTAAGTTAAATTTAGTGCACGGTCTCACCATAAAAAGAGGGCCATGCAATGCAAGTTGAAGAAGAAGGAGAGCGAATCAAGATGGAAGGTACTTAAACGTTTGACTTGTGATTAGCTACAACGTTGTTATAATGTGTTGTTAGTTAACTCTGTTGTACATGATTAAAGAGTGTAGCAATCAAATCGAAACAGCTCCATAACCATGATTATACACACTCATAGTGTTGCTGACCCTGCTATCTGATTATACATCCATGATGTTTTTTTTTTTTTTTTTTTTAACATCACATTTCAGTTATCTAATACCATCAGGTTCAGGTCCACAAACCACAAATTAAAACACGACACGTGTCGACTTGACCTTCTGACGTGTCATGAAGAAGTGGGGTCGTCTTTGACTCCACTGGAGCCGCGAGAGACCCATGTGGCCACGTCAGAGGCCGTGTCCAAAAATACGAAAAAATGAAGGGGCAAAAGTAGAATAATGAAAAAACAGGAAGCGGCAGAGAAGGTAAATTATTTATCCAAAAACAGAAAAACGCCAAAAGCGATTAATTAGAAGTGCTGCCGGTAATGCGAGGAAGAAAGAGAGGATGGCAGAGGAGGTAAATAAAAAGAAAAACAGTGGCGTTTGTGTTAAAGAGAGGGCACAATAAAAACCCCCCAACTCACATCACTCACATGACTCTACTACTAGTACTTACTCTACTTGTTTATTCTACTAACCCCTGTTTTGTGTTGCTTCATTCCTCTGCCCCAATTTTTTCTTATTCATTTCATTTCCTCGTTCCCTTCCTCTGGAAACAGGGGAAGAGACGCAAACACGAGGTGTGAGCTCTGAGAGGGGTCAATGAGAGCCACGGAGAAGAAATCAGTGATAATGGGAGGGGGTTCCGAGGGAAACGCCGACGTTTTAGCGTGGCTCAAATCGATGCCGGTGGCGCCGGAGTACCGCCCGAGCGCGGCAGAGTTTCAAGATCCAATCGGCTACATATTCAAGATCGAGAAGGAAGCGTCCAAGTACGGCATCTGCAAAATCATCCCTCCCTTCCCTCCTCCCCCAAAGAAAACCGCCATCGCCAACCTCAACCGCTCACTCGCCGTTTCCGGTTCCACATTCACCACGCGCCAGCAGCAGATCGGCTTCTGCCCCCGCCGCCCCCGCCCCGTGCAGCGTCCTGTCTGGCAGAGCGGCGACCACTACACCTTCACCGAGTTCGAGTCCAAAGCCAAGTCTTTCGAGAAAGCGTACCTCAAACGCCACACTAGAAAGGGTTCGGGCCTAGGCCCGAGCCCGCTTGAGACCGAAACTCTCTTCTGGAAGGCCACGCTGGATAAACCCTTTTCCGTGGAATATGCTAACGACATGCCGGGTTCTGCGTTCTCCCCTAAATGCCGCCACGCAGGGGATCCCACTTCCCTTGCGGACACTCCGTGGAACATGCGTGCTGTTTCTCGGGCTAACGGTTCGCTCTTGCGCTTCATGAAGGAGGAGATTCCGGGTGTTACTTCTCCCATGGTCTACGTCGCCATGCTCTTCAGCTGGTTCGCATGGCATGTCGAGGACCACGACTTGCACAGTTTGAACTACCTCCACATGGGTGCCAGCAAGACCTGGTATGGTGTCCCCCGCGACGCCGCAGTTGCTTTTGAGGAGGTGGTTAGGGTTCACGGCTACGGTGGAGAGATTAATCCGCTGGGTGAGTAGATGACGTGCTTGGTTTGTGTTGCTCTGCGGTTGTCTTTGTTTTTTCTTAAAGACATTGCTTAATTTAGTGCCTCAGTTCACGCGATTGCTGTGAATTTCTGAAATGTTGACTTTTGGAAATGGAAGTTAGTTTATTGCTAGTGATAGTGTGGTTCCGTGTGTGTGTTTACATTCTCTGCTGCTTCTCCAATGTGAAGTTTATTTGAGGTTCCGTTTTTATTTGGGGAGTAATCTGAACTTTACAGAGGATTACAGAGCAAATTTATTTAACAATGTCTGTTATGTGGACTTTGACTTGGGTCTCTGTTTGGATAAGATTGTGGAAAAACACTTGACTTTTTCCAAGACTATGTTCGGATAACTTGGGAAAAAAACACTTAGATTTTTTTCAAGTTAAAATTAGTTTGCATGAGTTTAAGATATGAGTGAGGTATAAATTAATTTATACATACATATATGCATACAACACACATATATTTAGGAGAACTGTACTCATTTTATCCTTTGGTTTTCTTCTCCTGTAAGTGCCGATAGTGAAGTTATCCAAACTGGGACTAAACTTGTAGTAGTGTGTTTTATTGGCCAAAACACTGAAGTGGGGGAGTGTGTAAAAGTGTGTTCTTTTGAATCCATTCTGGAAGGAAAACGTTGTTCGGTAGATTATTCAGTCCTGGTTCTTTTACAGAACGTCCTGCTTTCTGATGTTGCCAGCGAGACAGGGAGATATTCTTCATCATGTGAACTTTGAAAAATGCCCTTGTAATCCTTCACCCTTTTACCAGTAAATGACCATATAGTTTGTTTCGTTTTTTTGCTGCATGATGTGTGTACTTTTGCCTATAAAGTGAAGGGTGTGGTTGTATTGTGTTCTGCTCTCACAATCATGAACTTAGTTCAAGCATTATTGTTGAAAACAAGGTTTGTTACCGAAACCTTAGTTCTCTGTTTCAAGTTGTAGTCCTCTGTTTTAATCCTCAGCTACTTAAAAGTGTTTGAAATTCTTATTGTATCAATGAAAGATAGCAAAATTGAGGATTACACAGTTGGTTTTAGGAAGCCAGTTCATTGCTACGAAAGTGTCTAGTGATTGAACAACATTTTTACATAATGATCCCATTTGAATATAAAAATCTACATCAATTTGAGTAGGCACAACTATCTCTTTTTTGTCACTTGCTGTTTTGCCAACATGTCTACTTAACTAACCTTTGTCTTTCTAGATTTTTTCTTTTATGTAGGGAATCTTTTCTGTTTTCTATTTTATTATCTTAGCTTCTTTCCCATTTGATATATCACGTTTTGTTTTTTAATTTATGAGGAATGAGAAATATTGTTTGGTCCCATCTGGGATAAGTGAGGAATAACTGTGATTTCCATATGTTCAGAGGATGATACTTGATTTTTATGTTTATATACGGATCCACATATTACAAACTTAACGAGTCTGTTTCCTTTCAACAGTTACTTTTGCTATTCTTGGTGAGAAAACCACAGTGATGTCACCTGAAGTATTTATTAGTGCAGGTGTTCCATGCTGCAGGTACTAATGCTTATGAATGTCATACTATATATTTTTGTGATGAACTTATTTGGTATATCCTCAGATTAATACTCTAATTACTTGTACTTCAAGTTTTGCTGTGCCCTGTAAGTGGTATTATTTACTTTGAATTCCCTCTTGAGTTTGTCCTACACACAAATAAATTTGAACTTTAAAGATGCTGAAGTTCAGCTGCAATTTCAAATACAAGTTACGACCTTGTTAGAAATGTATCCGAAGTCAAAACACTTTTTTTTTTCTTTTTTTTACTGCCCTTTGAAATAATCTGTTTATGTTTTTCCACTGTCGTGTGACTATTCACTTGTGAAATCATCTATGTACTAAATGAAATATTGAGTGTTTTCTCACTTGAAGCTTTTGGAAGCAGTTATTGATGGTTATTTTTGAAGGTTTTTGTAGAAAAATGAAAACTTCTATGGTGTGACAGTATTGAACTGAAATGCCCTCATCTTTAAGGGCTTCTCTTTTCTCTATATTTGGTTTGGCATAGGAATGTTTTCATGCATCCTCTCTGGTGCTCTGCAATGGTTTGTTTCAGGGGAGTCCCCGTTATGCAGAGACAGGAAAGTCTGGTTGCATGCTTGGTTCCCACCTTTTTTATTTTCTTCTTTTTCTACTTAAAAGAATACCATATTCTCTCCCTAGTTTCTGTTACACTCTTTTATAGATAGATAGATAATGCAATGGATATTAGTAGCATCATTGCAATTATTAGATGTTATTTTCCTTTTCAGTGACCCTGTATAATGGTTTATGTGCATCTGTAACTTTATCTTTCAATTGTGTGGAATCAGGTTAGTACAAAATGCTGGGGAATTTGTTGTGACGTTTCCAAGAGCCTATCACACAGGGTTTAGTCATGGTAAGACACCTAAAAGTCAAAGAATGGTAGTCATAGGCTCAAAGATTCTCTTTTTCTTTTTTGAGGGTGGGTGGGTAAGTGGTGGTGATACATTTTATTCTTTCAGTCAATAGTTAAATGTTTCTAATGCTTTTGAATGTATGCTGTGTAGGGTTTAATTGTGGAGAGGCAGCAAACATTGCAACACCTGAGTGGTTGAGGGTTGCGAAAGATGCTGCCATTCGAAGGGCTTCACTAAATTATCCTCCCATGGTTTCACATTTCCAGTTACTTTATGACCTTGCCTTAGCTTTGTGTTCTAGGTTTGTCTTTTTCTATTTTAGCTTCTTATAATTGGCTACAAGAATGTACTGCTGATAGCTTACTACAATTATCTTTGGTTTAGGGTGCATATGTATTCTAGTAATGATAGCTTTCTATTTTAGTAATGATACCTTATTGACTGAAAGGAGTTTGAAGATGCATATGTATTCTGCAATTTTAAAAAGAGTGGATGAGTCATTCTGATTCTAGATATAAAAGTCTTATTATTTAGGTTTTCCTTATTTATAATTCCTGTATAATTTGATCATGCCACCAAGACAAAGATCTGGTGATCATATTATCTATACTGCCTGTAAATATACTTTGTCTTCTCCGTACAGAATTCCTGCGAGCATCAATGCTGAACCTCGCAGTTCTCGTCTTAAAGATAAGAAGAAGGGTGAAGGAGACACTGTAATCAAGGAACTATTTGTCCAAGACGTGTTACAGAACAATGATCTGCTTCATATACTGGGAAAAGGATCTGCTGTAGTACTTCTTCCTCGTAGCTCAGTTGACATTTCTGTTTGCTCTAAACTACGTGTTGGATTCCAGCAATCCATCAATGTAAGCAATTCTGAGGGAATGCATTCCTCAAAAGGTTTTGTTTCTGATGATCTGGTATTCAACAGGAGTCATGGAATCAAGCAAGAAAAAAGTTTCTATTCTGTGAAAGACAAGTTTAGTACGATGTATGAAAGGAACAGGATTTCCTCTTTTGATGTTAATGGTAACATAAACACTTCAAGTTCTAAGCCACTTCAGAGGGACACGGAAGGAGAAACTAGTGAAGATGGATTGTCAGATCAGAGACTGTTTTCATGTGTCACGTGTGGAATATTAAGCTTTTCCTGTGTTGCTATTGTACAGCCTAAAGATCCAGCAGCTAGATATCTCATGTCAGCTGATTGCAGCTTCTTTAATGATTGCGTTGTTGGTTCTGGAGTATCTAACAGTAAATTTACTAGTGCCCCTGAAGAAGCAACTATTCCTGAGCCAAATTTGTATACAGGCAAGTTTATAAGTTCTATTTCTAGTATTTCATAATTTGTTTCATAGTGTCATAAAAAATATTTTCTGTTCCTTCAGATATTATCAACAATGACTTCACATCCTAGGTATTTTCTGGTCCTCTGTCTTATGCTCATCAGGAAACTTGTCTATTTATTTGGTCAGTGTCTTTCTGTATGTAACGGCCATGCTTCATGATAATTTCAAAAAATAGAGCAGAACCACAAATGTCAGTCTGAGCTTTATCATACTTGTTTATCTATTTTCTTCTATTCTAATTTTCTCTAATGGTCCTTTTGGTTGGGGGTCCAGAAGGTTGGTTTGGATCCTGTAGAGCTTTAGCATAGAAGGGAAATGTTTAAATTGTTTTAGTTGTAATATTCAAATCCTGAACTCCTGAAGACTAGAGTGTCTTGTCCAGTGTAAAGGTTGAAGAAACTGAGTTGTCTTGCCATCGATGCCATAAACTTGTCTTTAGTTACATAATAATAGGCTATTATTAACAGCAGACCTCTGTGATAAGTTTTTAGGAGGGGGATAATAGGAAAGCAGACACATACACTTGTTCCCTACAAAGCTTTTATGATGTGCATTTGAAAGCACGACTTAGGTATTTAAAGAGCCAAATCCTTTTATATCTTCTTTTTCCATATATAATTTTATTGTTTCAATCTTCTTGTCTAGGATTTAAGTAAAACTTAAAAGTGCTGATCCTTTTTCTTCTATCAAGCAGGATGGATGAAAAAAGAGGTCCAAGATGGTATACCAGATGTTTCTGTTCAATCTTATCGGGATGGTTTGAATACTGAAAGTAAAAATGGAAATACAGCTCTTGCACTATTGGCTTCAGCATATGGAAATTCTTCTGACTCTGAGGAAGACCAGATTTCGGTTGATGGTCATGAAACAAATGTGGTAAACTCTGCTTCAGAAAGTTTACTTTCTCATACTCAAGATTCCTATGCTACTCCCAGGTCTCCACTTGATAGGGGAGATAACATTCCTTCAAAGAGTGCCAGTTGTGAGGATTTTATGCATCGTAGATTTGAGTGCAATTTAAGTCATCAATCTTTAGACCACTCTTCAAAGAAACAGGATTATAACATCACATCAGGGCTCACATTTGAAAATATGAGGACGATGCCTAATTCCACCTCCATTTGCTCCCAGGAAGCCCATGATGCTGAAAGGTCATTGCCTAACAAGTCTGTGGTTCCCTTTGATAATAAAAATGCTTCAATGGTGCTACAATCTGATGAAGATTCATCCAGAATGCATGTGTTTTGTCTAGAGCATGCTGCAGAAGCAGAGAAGCAACTTTGCCCAATAGGTGGAGCCCAGATATTTCTCCTATGTCATCCAGGTTTGTGGGGTTGATTCAGTGTTATTCATTTTAAGCTGTATTGTTATCTCATGCCCAAGTTCTAGCCAAAAGGAAATCAATTTTACTATTTGCAGCTCTTGTTATTTGAGAATAAAATGAAAACTTAATAGGTAGACAGATTAAACTGGTTAAGAAACAAGGGAACTGTGGTTATGAAGAACGAGAGTCTAGTGATGGAAGTTATGTCAGTTTATGTTGTTGCAAAGTAAGAAATTTCTTTTTTTCCTTCCCTAATGGAAAGGTCAAGTTCAGTAAAAATTTGAATCTGGTTCAATGTCTTTATGAAACATTTTACACTCTTTGCAAATAAGAAGATACCAAATCAGTGAGCAGCCATTGCTTTTCACTTTTAGTGAAAGCTTTTGCTTATTTTCTTTGATAGGTGGCACCACATCTTACAAAGTGGTTTAGACCTAATTCAACCCTACAAAACCGGCTTGTAAGGTGAGGATTGTTCCTATTTATATACTGTATTTTGACTCTATCTTTAGTCAGTGTGGGACTTAGGTAATTCCCAACACACTCCCTCATGTCTAGTAGTATTGGACTTGATACGTCTATAAACATGGTGAGTGACCTTTTTAATGGATTTAAGATAGACTTTGATACCATTTTACAAAGTGGTTTAAGCTTAATTCTACAAAAACAACTTATGAGGTAATGATTGCTCCCATTTGTATGTATTTTTGAACCATCTTCAGTTGATGTGGGACTTGGGTTTTTCCCAATACTGCACAATTATTTGCTGATATGTATTTTTTTTGTACATTTTTTGGTGAATCAAAATTAAATCGTATGATAAAAATTCATGGATATGATTATTTTTATTTTATTATTTTTTAATTTTTGAAGTCATGGATGAGCTATATTTTTGTCATAGATGGGTTATATCTGTCCATCTATGATGAGTTATAACAATATTCATTTACAAGCAAGGTTATCTAAAAAGATGTTTCTTTTTTATTTGAAGAAGTTTCATATGATTGTCATGGATTATTATAGTTGGTGTCTATTGCTCATGATTGAAAATTATTTTATAGTTACTGTTAGTAGTTTTCTTCTTTGTAAATCACTCACTTTTTTTTTAACACATTTATATAGATTACCCCAAGATAGAGGCCGAAGCAAAAATGGTGGCAGAAGATTTGGGGATTGATTACATGTGGAAGAGTATTGTATACCGGCATGCTTCCAAGGAGGATGAGGAGAGGATCCAGTTGGCTCTGGATTGCGAGGAAGCCATTCCTGGGAATGGTGACTGGGCTGTAAAACTAGGGATAAATCTCTTTTATAGTGCACATCTTAGTCGCTCTCCTCTTTATAGCAAGCAGATGCCTTACAATTCTGTTATATACTGTGCATTTGGTTGTGGCTCTCCAGCAAGCTCACCTGAAGAGCCAAAGGTGTACCAAAGAAGGGTCAACAGGCAGAAAAAGGTTGTTGCTGGGAAATGGTGTGGTAAAGTTTGGATGTCTAACCAGGTGCATCCCCTTTTAGCAAAAAGAGATTCTGAAGATGTTGAGGATGAGAAAATCTTACTTGGGTGGATATTACCTGATGAGAGAATTGAGAGATCAGAAAGTATCCTCAAAAGTGAAAGTACTAGCAGAAAATCAGGTAAGAAAAGGAAAATGACAGCAGAGAATGGACGAACCAGGAAAGGAAGTTATGCTAAGAAAACTGTACTGTCATATAATTCAACTGAAGATAAACCCAACTCACAGCCAAGGAGGGTTCATAGAAGTAAGAAAGCCAGGAATGTTGAGAGAGACCGTGCTGCTTTCAAAGGGGATAATTCTCCTCCATATCATCATAGAAAACCTACAAGCAAACAAACAAACTGCACTGAAAGTGATGCCCTTTCTGATGATTCGCTTGATGATGAAGATGATCACATGCAGCATAGAAGGAACTTTAACATTGACAATGATGTGGTTTCAAATGATACAATGGACTGTGATTCTGATTGGCAGCAGAGGGAAGCAAATAGCAGCCAGGACGTTGAAGATATGGAGAGAGATGCAATTTCAGAGGATTCTTCGGATGTTGGTTCTCTTCAGCTGCAAAAGAAGACTTCCGAAGGCAAGCACACCAAATGCATTAGTGAAGATGTAATTTCTGATGACCACATGGAGAGTTCTTTTCAAAAGCAACATAGGCGAATTCCTAAAAGCAGGCAAGGCAAGTATCTTACTGGAAAAGATATAATATCTGATGACCAACTAGAGCTGAAAATGCAGAAGCAGCGACGGAGGAATCCTAAAAGCAGGCAAGCCAAATACCTTAATGAAGAGGATTTTGCATCAGATGACCAACTGGAGGGCCATTACCGTAGGTATCAAAGAAGGAATCCTAAAGGCAGGCAGGTAAAATGTGTAGCCGAGGAAGATGAAATGTCCGGTGACCAATTGGAAGATCATTGTCAGAAGCTGCATACAAGTTTCTCTAGGAGAAAACAAGACAAAGGCATTAATAGAGACGTTAAAAATGTAATGTCTGATGACCAATTGGAGGATCATTCTCTGAAGCAGCAAAGAAGAATTCCTAAGAGCAGGCAAAACAAACACACTTATAAAGAAGTTATGGATGACTCGGCTGAAAATAATTCTCATCTGCTGCATAGAACTCCTAAAAGGAAGCCAGCTAAATGCGTGGACGAAGATGATATGAATTCAGATGATGAGGTGGAAGATGATCAGCAGCTGAGGAGAACTCTTCGAAGTAAACAATCTAAACCAAAAACACTTCAACAGATGAAACAAGCCAATTCCCTTCAAGCGAAAAACCAGGCATCTCGATCCATAAAACGTGGTTCTCGGGTGCTTGTGAAATCAAAGACTCCTCAGCAAATAAAACAGCGGAATAAGCAATCAAGCAATTCCCGAGAGTTTAGTTTACATATGGAAGAGGAAGAAGAAGGTGGACCTAGCACACGCCTTAGGAAGAGAGCCACAAAAGCTCAGGAGTCTGAAGGAAAATTGAAATACAAGCAAACAAAAAGGAATAAGGTGAAGACTTCTACAACTGCAAAGGTTTCAGTTGGTCATGCTAAAGGGAAGGATGGTGAAGCAGATTATCAGTGTGATATTGATGGGTGCACTATGAGCTTTGGGTCAAAACAGGAGCTGCTGCATCACAAGAGAAATATCTGCCCTGTAAAAGGGTGTGGGAAGAAGTTTTTCTCACACAAGTATCTGGTGCAACACCGGCGAGTTCATGAGGATGAACGCCCCTTGAAGTGCCCTTGGAAGGGATGCAAGATGACTTTCAAGTGGGCATGGGCTCGGACTGAGCACATTCGAGTCCACACTGGTGCACGGCCTTATGTATGTGCAGAGCCAGGTTGTGGACAAACATTCAGATTTGTGTCTGATTTCAGTCGTCATAAGCGAAAGACTGGTCATTCAGCGAAGAAGAGTCGTCAATAGCAACTGGAATAGATGTTTAATTGCTACTTAACATGACTATTTATGAATTTGTGAATCCTTTTCTCAATTGACCCGGCTAGGACTAGGGTTTAGTGACAGTGTAGGATATCCCTGCAATTGCCATTTGTAGTAACTTTAATTCTGTTTGCCTTTTGGGTCTTCAACCCATTTGTTTATTACAATTTAAGCAATTGCTTGGATCTAGAACATGATTCTCATCCAGCTCACATAGGATGCAATGTTGTTCCAACGTTCTTGATTAATTTATTGCAATGTGCAATGCAATTCCCCCAATCCCCATCTCAACCTCGTGGTAGAACGGAAATCATGCAGAGAAATGAAACGTACTTCAAGAAGGTTTTACACACGTTGTATGTTTTCATAAAACACTATTTGTTCAATGGAGGTCAGGAGATGAATTTTAATGAAAGGAAGGACGGAGAGAAGATTTTACTTAAACGTCATTTACACGTGAAGGAAAATTTTATAAATTTTAGTTGTTTAAATATGTTTTTCGTTTTTTACATTTTTTGTCAAAATTGATTTTTCTTTTTATATTTTAAAGCATAATAAATTAGTCTTTAAAATTTGAAAAATATTTGTATTCAATTTTCTATTAACTTTATAACAGTAACAATGCATTTCTAAATATTATATTTTGATATAAAAAAATTAAAAATCATATTTAGTCTTGTTAAAGTGAAAAATAATAATTAAGTGTTAAATTTAGGTATAAAAATGGCTAAAATTATTTATTTTCAAAAATTTAGAAGAATTATTTGGAAGTATAAAGATACGTTTTTTTTACAGAAACACAAGGATAAAAACACACTTTTAAAACAAAAAAATTAGTTTTGTAATCCTATAGTTTTCCTTCTTTTACAAATCCTGTATAAAAGTAAATTTTTGATGAGTAGAGATTTTTTTTTCAGTTTTTTTTTTGAGAATGGGATAATTTTTTTTTTAATTTATCGAAATGGACAAATTTTTAAAAAATCACAAATATATAGCATGATTTCAAAATGAATCATACTTCACGATTTTTTTTATTTTTAATTTTTAAAAAATTTATATTACCTAATACAATTTTTATATAAATATATATGAAAGTTGTTGTACATAATATCATTTTAGTTTTTATATTATAATAATTATTATGACAATAAATAATAAAATAAATAATAATAATAATAATAGTAAAATTAATAATTATTATATTATTAATATTATTATTTATTATGAATAATAGAATAATATTTTTAATAATTATATTAATGATATAAACATACTTATGATTCTTTATTTTATTATTAATTATACTAAAAATAATAATTAATTATTATTAATTATAATAGTAAAAATTATTAATTATAATAAATATTATTAAAATATAATAACTAAATTGGTATAACTTTTATTATATTATTATTATAATTAATAATAATAAAAAATTTCATATAATTAATTATTATTTATTTTATTGTAATTAATAATAAAATAAAAAAATGATAAGTATATATAGATATGTTTATATAAAAATCGTATTAGATAATATGATTTTTTTTAAGTAAAAAAATGAAATTATGTTTTGAAGTGCTATTTTATTTTAAATAGTATTATTTGTACTTTTTTTTTAAATTTATTTATTTTAATAAATAGTCGTAAAATAAAAAACGATTTTGCATCTCTCATCTCTTTTCTTGAAAAATTAGAAATTTCTAAATATAAAATTATTTTAAATGTAGGAGTATTTAAACGTAGGAAGTATGGTCATTAAATAATCAATTCTAAGAGTACAATATCCTTTCTTGGTCATGAAATTACTAATTTTAAAAGTATAAGAACCTTTACAAATATGTTTTATTTTTATTTTTCTCTACTACAGATTTCATAAACATTCTTCAAGCATAATAATGATTGATGATGGGTAGAATTTCCAAAAGAGCTTATTTGATAAAATTTGTGAGATTTATTTTTAAATGAAGTTTGAATTACTTTAAAATGAGTGTGATCAATGAACTTCTACAATTACAAGATTGTGACGGCAAAGAAAAAACTCTGGAATATTTATGATGAAGCTATTAATAAATCTTCACATTTACAGGTTTGTCATCAAAAACGAAAAACACCATTTGATAATGTTGTTTTATTTGAAGAGGAATTTCATAGTTAGTTACACAAAGGGAAGGGGATTGGTAAAAGGGTAAAAACCATTGAATGTATCATAACCTTACATTTACAAGGAAGTCGGATTTTGAAAACATAACCAAATATTAAAAATAACTCTTAAGAATTAATCATGATGATAGGTTGAGTTTTATTAATATATTAATGTTTGAAGTCTTCCATATCAAAGATAATTTATATCCAGTATTTTCTCTTAATTTATCCTTTTAAAACAGAGATGCTCTGATCCAATATTATATATATAGAGGTAAGAGGATATAAGAAGAACAATGAATTACGATTTTAAGAAAATTAAAAATATCCTCGATTAAAAAAATTTATATACCCCTTGCAAAAGATGCAATTTTCAAATAATCTTTTATCATATTTAATCAATTTATAATTCGTTTTATTTTTATTTTTTTTAATATAAGGTTTTTAAAAGAACTTTTTTATTTATCAATTTTTTAAAAATTACATTTCTTTAATGAAATTCTTTTCAACCAACTAAAACATTTCAATAAATAATTGTGATTATAAATGCTGTAATAACACAACGAAAATACTTACCTTCTACCAATTACACGTGGATTATGTAATACAACCCATATTAGTATAAATGATAATCAGAGTGGACTTCAATTAGTGGAATAGGAAACCGGTTTAGACTATGGTTCATTTTATCTTAACAATGGAGTTATTTTTGAGTGAAAAGTGAAAAAAAATGGTAGGTCAAAAAGTCCAAAAGAGTTTTAAAATTTTAAACGATAAAACGTTTTTTAAGTTTTTTTGTTTGCCTCGTATAAATCCCACTCTCACAGTTTCCAACCGGTTTTTCTTCCAGTAGATTTGTAGTCGCTAATTCTTTTATATTTAATATATTATTAAAAAAACTAGTTTATTGAAGCTAATTGATTAAATCTTTTAGCTTTGTTTTTTGTTGTATAATATTATTTTAATTTAATATTTCTTCATATAATTTATAAATAATTTTAATAAAAAGATTTTTAATGTGATGATTATTAAATTATAGATATATTAAAGCTATGAGAATTATTTTAGAGTTATTAAAATTAATTCCTTTTTTCTTATTTCATTAAAAGTATTAAGATATTTTAATAAATATTTAAAATTACACATTATAGTATTAAGATATTTTAATAAATATTTTAAATTACACATTATAGTTTTTTCTATGAAAGACTAAAAGTTACATTATTAAACAATACAAAATAAGTGACTTTGATAAAAGAAATTATTGCATTAAGCATATTTTATATCATAAAAAAAGTCATCAAAGAAAGTAAGAGAAGGAAAAATATCCATCAAAGAGATTATTTACACTAAGTCCAGGTAAGTTCTTGAACAATTCTAATAATATATTTGTGAGAATCATCTATCATAAGATTCCTATGAAATAGAATAATTTCTTGAATTAAATTAGAACATTTGAAACTACAAGTTTACATTGGTATCAAAGCCAGATTAGAAATTTATTAATTTTCGTGAATGATGTTTTCCCCAAATTATAGAAACTATAATTTGAAATTATGAAATTTAGGGATTTTATTTCCAAAATTTAGTTGAATTTTGTTACACCACATGAAATGAATTTTATTGTGTTTTAATTAATTCTAAAGTAAAGTTGAATTATGTCAATTATCCTTGAAATAAAAAATGTTGAATTATGCATATGTTAATTGGTTTATGGGTTAATTAAAATTTATTGTTATAAGGCATTTCTGGATTATACAAAGGTGAACCATTGCTTATTACTAATAAGACAAATGATTTATTCTAATTTGTATTGAGTGTATGTCTATCCAAAGATGTCATACATGTCAAAAATAAAATATTTTATTATCCATTAAAGTGTATGCTATGAAAATTGAGTGTATTTATTTTACCAAAATAAAGAAGATACATGATTAAAGTTTATATAGTTTGAATCCATTAAGTTTTCAGAATATTGATAGGTGAGTTTGTTTAAATGTGTGGAGTTATGTCTAACATGATTCCATTGGACAACTGTTTGATCAAGTTCAATGGTTTAAATTATGTTGATTGGTCTCAAATGATCAAATTTCAACTGAGTATCATGGATTTAGACCTTGTATTGATAATGGATGAAAAGCCCCCACCCATTACTAAGACTAGTACAAAAGTTGGAATGTCTCTTAATGATGTTTGGGAGCAATCTAATAGATTGACATTGAACTTGATGAGACTGACTATGGTTGAAAATGTTAAGTCATTTATGCAAAAAACAGATAATGTTAAGGAACTCATGAATTTGGTTAAGGATTTCTCGCAATCTGACATTACTGACTAGTCGATTATGGGGAATCTGGCAAGTGAGCTAACAAACAAAAGGTTTGATTGGTCTCAATCAATTCATGATCGTGTGAGTGAAATTTCTAATCTGGAAGCAAGGTTGAAGTCTATGGGAATGGAAGTGAGTGAGTCCTTCTTAGTGCAGTTCATTTTGAACTCCCTTCCTACTAAATTTGGCTAAGTCTAGGTGAATTATAATACCCTTAAAGAAAAATGAAACTTTGAAGAAGTTAAGGCCATGTTAGTTTAGGAGGAAAGGAGATTAAAGAAAATGAAGAACGACTCTGTTCATCTCATGACTCATGATGGAGCTAGTGACAATAAGAGCAAGCTAGGTAGGAAGAATAAGGGCAAGACCTAATTGAAGGTCAATGAAGGGAAAATCTATAAGGATAAGAAATGTTACTTTTGTAATCAAGAAGGTCACTTCAAGAAGCATTGCTCTAAAATGAAAAAATGGTTTGAAAAGAAAGATATATTTTATATCTGTAAATTTCAAA